GTGGCTGGCGCCTTAGCCGCTTGAGCCACAGGCGCGGAGCCTCATCATTGTTGTTTGGCGGGTCCGGGCTGGATTTGAACCTGCCACCTTAGGTGTATGTGGCTGGCACCTTAGCCGCTTGAGCCACAGGCGCTGAGCCTCTTTTCATATTTTTAAATATTTTATTTTTTAGAGACGGGGTCTTGCTTTGTCATCCAGATTGGTCTTGGTCTCGAACTCCTGGCCTCAAGCAATCCTCCCACTTTGGCTCCAAATTGCTGGAATTATAGGCATGAGCTATGATGCCTGGCCAGGAACCTGTTTCTGACCAACTCTGCTAAATAAAGTCCCCTAAAGAATACTCCCCACTTCTGGAATTATACTTGAAGCAGCAAACAGGAGCTGCTAGGGGAATATGTAACTTGTCATTTTCTCTACTCTAAAACACAACTGATAGAAACCTGCACATCTACAAATTTATAAGGGATGATTTCCTTATCCCATTCCTTTTCTGAGAACCCATTCCGAGTAGATCAAATTCAGACTCTGCCAACTCATGAGGTTCCGGATGTTATTTTTAATATGATTCTCGGGGACATGGAAGGTCTGGGACCTCAGAGGGAAGCTGCCACATGTGGCATATAAAGCATCCTGAAGCATTTATTGTTGTTCCAGGGTTAGTCAAGAAGGTGCAACTTGATAAGAAGACAACATATGATAACGCTTTTCCCGATTTAAGCTCTTGGAAGGAGAGCGAGCTTTTCCCAAGTTACTTACGTCTGTGGAGGTGGGGCTGGGCAGGGACACAGGCTGAACAGGTGCAGGGAAAGTGAATGTGGTCTCTGTCTTTTCATTTTCAGGGGAGTCGGGATGACTGGATGGGGGGGATGTTGGGGTAAGGGCTCCAAACCCCAGCACTGCATTGTATTTTGGAGGACGACCTATATACCAAGAGAAGGGAACAAAAGGGAAAAAGGGGGAGGGAAAGAGAGGGGAAAATGATCTTACATACCTTTGGCCAGTGTTCCTCATTGGCTAGCATGGAAAAGGAAGTGAGGTAGCAGACAGAAGGTTAATACAACAGTCCCAAAGAAAGAAAGAGAAGCAAAGATTTAAATGTCATTAGAAACAACTATGTGAATCTCAAGAGAAGGGAGGATAAGAGAGCTTTGGAGAATGACCGAAGGTCCTAGCTTAATTATGGTGAAGTTCCTAGACTATTACAATTTAAGATTTCTAGTGCAAAAAACAAGTTGTCAAAGGTCAGTGGGAGCCATGGCCAGAAATAAAAATTTCTTTTATTTTTTCCTATCTTTTACATATTGTCTCTATAAAGTTTCTCTGCAATCACCATTCTTAAGGAAAAACTGAAGACTTTTAGTTCCCACAAATTGATTTATTTAGGATTTCTGCTTTTCCTTTTCCTTCCTGTCTACATTTTGGTCATGATTTCACTGCTTATGAGGGTGTGGAAAGGCAAAGTGAGGAGGCAAAATTCAAGTTAGTTGTTCTCACTCCTTGCTGTTAGAGCTTTTGAGAAAAACTTCTGGTAGCAGCTGAAACCTGAGAGTTAAATGGTGCTCTGGGCCAAGTACTAAGTTTACGTATTTCTGTCTCTGTATACCTTTTTCAGTTAACTGAACACTGTCTCCCCTCTTTACATCTGGTGAACTCTGTGCCTAAAAACTGGGGCTGTTCCAAAGTCCCAGGGAAGGCCCTGTCATCAGCACTACTGAGAGCCTGACTCGTGCAAAATCATTCTGAATCAAATCTCACAGCAACACGAGCTGTACAGGCTCAGAAAGTCTAGGTCAACACTTTTGCCTTACTGCGTATCTCAGTTAGGGTCCTTACCTCTATTCTACACCTAACACAGCAGAGGGGGAAAAAAGAGACAGAAAGGTATAAACTGTCTATCGGCACTGGGAAATGGTATGTAGGATCATGACTTTGCCAAGTTCTAATTTATATTAGGGTTATGCCCAAGAGTCATGATTCTGTCCGACATTACACAAATATTACCTCTCTGTGTTAAAGTTTGCAATGTCTATAGTGCAAAGACAGATCTTACTGGTTTGTCTCTTCTTTTTTTTTTTTTGAGACAGAGCCTCAAGCTGTCCCCCTGGGTAGAGTGCCATGGCATTATAGCTCACAGCAACCTCCAACTCCTGGGCTCAAGCGAGTCTCCTGCCTCTGCCTCCCAAGTAGCTGGGACCACAGGCACCCGCCACAACGCCCGGCTATGTTTTGGTTGCAGCCATCATTGTTGTTTGGCGGGTCCGGGCTGGGGATTCGAACCCGCCACCTTAGGTGTACGTGGCTGGCGCCTTAGCTGGTTGAGCTATAGGCGCTGAGCCTGGTTTGTCTCTTCTAGGAAATTCAGTGCCTCTAGAGGGGGAACCAGAAGATGAATGCTCTTTGTCCGCCCATGGAATGCACATCCTAGGCGTTGTGAGGCAGGCTGCCCTTGGTAAGAGATGGCAAGGTCTTTCTGGCTCATTTAACCCCTGTCCTCTTAGCAGATACTGCCTATTATCAGGCCAATTAGTTGTAGCCTCTGGTTGGGGGGCTCTTTTCTGAGAACTGTATCAGAGGTGCCTAAAAAATTGCTGAACACAAACCAAAACAACCAAAAATAACCTATGGCACTAGTTACTGTGGCTCAGGAATCAATATAAAGCAATGACTTAGAGTTTCCTATCTAAATGTTTTCAGCAACCTGAATGAGAGGGCTGAAGAAACACTAGAATGAGTTACTCAGGGTGGGTATGGTATCTCTTTCTGTGGGTAGGGAGAGGTAATGGTATGATTGTAGTCCTGCCTAAGGCAGACAAAGGGTCGGGATGACCTCCTAAGCTTCCAATAGCTCTGAGATTGTGTGCATATGCAAAAATTAGTATGCTACTCCACTCACGCTGCAACCTTTCTAGCCTGGAACTGTAATTCAGGGACACATTACCATGTGCAGAAAAGGACCTTGGGATATATTACTGACATCAAAGAACAATTTCAGTACCTTGCTTATGAGCTCAAACCCTGAGCTAGTAAGACCTATTTAGACCTGCACAGCAAGAGATGCTGCTGCCGGACTTTCTTATTTTTGTTTATTTTTTTGCCCTAAGTGTAAGGCAGCATGCCCATGGGAAGGTCTGAAATATGGGAATGGAATGCTGTAGGAATTTGTGCTTTGGGAAACCTGTTTTGACAATGACCTTTGTCTGACATAGTTGGGAGACACCTGCTTCTCAAAGATTCTAAGTTCTTAGTGTAGCTACCTCTGTTCTTCCTGGAAAGCCTGTAGCTCCCAGAAACTTAAGAGTCACACTCTGGCCTTACTGGCAGCAGGACAACCAAGACACTATTAGGAACACCTTGGCAACAACAGTGCTCTGTTCTGCTTAACGATGCTCAAATGTTTCCTTTTACATGGTGTTCTGTTCACTGTGCTATTCATGGATGGCTGGCAGGCTCAGGGCAGAAATGCTGCACTGAACCATTCCCCTGAGCCAGCTCTGCCAGAATCCTAGGGAAGCTACCTTTAGATTCAGCATACAGAACCTAACAAGAAAGTTCACTCTCTTTTCTCTCCCATTCTCAGAGAACAAAACTATGTTCAAGGGATAGAGGAGTTAGGTCCTAGGAAAATGGGAGGAGGGAGGGAGAAGAAACACACACAGAAAGCAAAAGTAATAGCAGCAAGGGAGAGGTACCCAAAGGTCCTCACCTCTCTTCCGGGTCCCGGGGTGCATTGTGCTGTTCAGGTATGTGACTGCACTCTTCTTACGCTTTAAGGATTAAAGAAGGAAAGGTGACTGACTGAATGGCATGGTTACTACTGATACTGCCACAAGCTACAGACCAGGCACAGCGTGCCTGTCGACATGTCAACTAGCTACTGCTAATCACCCTAAGGTCTCAGTGCCAAAGGGTCTTATTACACGTACGTGGCTCTCAGAGAAGTCTGCCTCTGCTGCAGATTAGAGTTATGTTAGAGTCAGGATAAATTAAAATTTTAAGGTAGGTTTGTATCTGTTCAAACATACTGGGAAAAAAACCCCTAAAGGGTAAGCAGTGAATAATAGAAAGGAAATAATTTAATAATAAGCCAGAGGAAAACGCATTGCTTCACAGAGCTGGCCAAGTACAATCAGGGTGCTGCCCATAAGCAGGCTTTCAGACAGGAGGTGCTGAACAAGTCATAAATAAAACTGGAACAGTGAGGAAGGGCCACGCGCTGGCCAGGAATACCTCTGGCTCAAAGACTGCTCCACTATAGACTGGATTTGCTGTTGTTCTTCTTTTTCGCTCTTGCCTCTTGCTTTGGATTTCTTGAGGAAAAAAAAAAATGTTTTGATTAGAAGAGAGGTAGGGAGAATCCAAAAAGCTTAACTTTATTACTTTATCTGTTGGTTTTCTCATAACAAATCAGAAACAGGGGGCAACTCTCTTTTTACTGCAGCCTAAACAGAGGCAAACACACTCTTAGAAGCAAATATGTAGAACCATCTACTCTCACTTCTCAGAAAGTGAGACCCTGCTGTTCCACAGTGTGACTCTCTGTGATTGAGAGCTTAACAGTAGATAGCATTTGTAAACAAGCTGTCCTGATTTATTTTTACACTGCTGTATATATAGGTCTGGATGAGCTTTATCCATAGACTTAGACTGAGTAACTGAACTTCATCATTCCTGAATTAAATAACAAGGACAAGTATAGCTTTGTAATTGTTTTTGAGATTATAATAACCTGGAATGACAGGAAAATACAGACAAGGACTTGTCAGAGGAGTACATGCTACTCTGTGCTGTCTAAAAGAAAAAAGCTCCCCTAAAGTGAACAGAAGTCATCTTAATTCAGGCAACTGGGAAGATTTTCCCCAGTCAGTAGTGTGGATAATGATAGGAAGGGGAGAGCCTGAACATCAGACAGATAGAAGGCAACTTTTCCTCTAAAGGAAATAAAGTCCACACTCGTTGAATCATATTCTATTTGTGTTCCAATTTTCTATTCCAGGAATTCAATCAAACACCGTTTTCAAGAACAAAGCTGTGGGCCAGAAAAAAGGCAATGCCAAGAATATCTTCTCTTACCTTCTAAATGGTCATGTGTTACCAACCCTAGAGACACCATGAAGGCAAGTTTCTGTGCCAGAGAAACAAAAGAAGAATATACTTCAGTCTGGGTTCCCACAAAGCGAACAGAGGTTCCTAGTCAGACACAAGGGAAATTCAGCCCAGCGGGCTGGTTACTTGGGGGAGGATTCAGGTGAACTAGGGGCAGGCATCCTCTACTCTGAGTAGCTATGGAGACACTCTAGTGGCTTTCTGGTCTAACAGACCCAAAAGAGAAGCACTGGGGACTACATTTCCTACTTTCTTAATAACAGAAATCAGAATCTTGAGTGACTTTTTTTTTTTTTTCCAGAAAAATCCTCTCAAAGGAAAAATTTGATACTTGAAAAATGTGCAGAGGGTTTTAAAGAGCCTCCCATATAACAAGCTCCAAATTTCAAGTGCTTCACTTGTCAGGATTTCTCATATTTTTACTGCTACTGACTGGTCAATGCTAAATGAACTAAATGATTTTTAGGAATGACAGCAGGTGGTTATGTTTAATACTATGATTTTTCAATCAAACATGGACCTAAAAATTAAGGAGCAATTTCTCTCTGAAGACCACTCTGAGGGCTCCATAAGAATCTAAGTTGACTAGAATACTGCACCTCAAAGCTGAAATGTTAAGATATATCAAGTTGGAGAGAATGTTGGATTGATTTCTATTATTCTCTTTGGTTGCAGGTAGCCTGAAAAACATGTTTTCTCCGCTGTACCACTGCATGTGGTTCCGCTGTACCACTGCATGTGGTTTCTGAATATGCCAAATAATACATCAGTTTCTTTCTCTGATGAATAAAGATCATCAACTGTTAAAAGACATATACTCCCATAGAGTTACTTATACCACAAGTTTGGTCTTTAAAAATCCTGATGTGCTGGGAATGGTGGCTCACACCTATAATCCTGGCACTAAGAGGCCAAGGGAGGTGGACTGCCTGAGCTCACGAGTTTGAGACCAGCCCGAGCAAGAGTGAGACCCCATCTCTAAAAATAGTGGGGCATTGTAGTGGGCACCTGTAGTCCCAGCTACTTGGGAGGCTGAGGCAAGAGAATTGCTTAAGCCCAAGAGTTTGAGGTTGCTGTTAAGTTGTAATGCCATGGTACTCTACCAAGGGCAAGAAAGTGAGACTCTCATAGATGAATAAACGGATAAATAAATAAAAAGTAAAAATTCTGATCTCTAACCCTTGACATTAAATATGGTATTTTGGTGTGAAGTGATTAGGTTCGGCCTATTTAAGATACATTCCTTAAGCAAGCCACTGGAGAACACAGAAATTATCTTTTTTTTTTTTGAGACAGAGCCTCAAGCTCTGTAGAGTGCTTGAGTAGAGTGAGTAGAGTGCCATGGCATCACAGCTCACAGCAACCTCCAACTCCTGGGCTCAAGCAAGTCTCCCGCCTTAGCCTCCCAAGCAGCTAGGACCACAGGCGCCCGCCACAACACTCAGCTACCTTTCTGGTTGCAGCCGTCATTGTTGTCTGGTGGCCCGGGCTGGATTCGAACCCACCACCTTAGGTGTATGTAGCTGGCACCTGAGCCACAGGCACCTGAGCCACAGAAATTATCTTTACTGGTATCTTTAGAGTCTTAAAGAATGTTTTTTATTTTATTTCTTATTTCAGAAATTTAGGTAGGAGGGTGGCGCCTGTGGCTCAGTAAGTAGGGCGCCGGCCCCATATACAGAGAGTGGAAGGTTTGAACCCGGTCCCAGTTGAACTACAACAACAACAATAACAACAATAGCCCGATGCCTATAGTCCCAGCTTCTAGGGAGGCAGAGGGAAGAGAATCACCTAAGCCCAAGAGCTGGAGGTTGCTGTGAGCTGTGGTGCCACAGCATTCTACTGAGGGCGAAAAAGTGAGACCGTCTCTAAAAAAAAAAATTTAGGTAGGGGCTTGGTGCCCATAGCACAGTGGTTACGGTGCCAGCCACATGCACTGAGGGTGGCAGGTCTGAACCTGGCCCAGGCCTGCTAAACAACAACTGCAAAAAACAGCTGGGCATTGTGGCGGTTGCTTGTGGTTTTGGCTACTTGGGAAGCTGAGGCAAAGGAATCACTTGAGCCCAGGAGTTTGAGGTTGCTGTGAGCTGTGACACCATGGCACTCTACTGAGGGTGACAGAGTGAGACTGTCTCAAAAAAAAAAAAAAAATTTAGGTAGGTACCTATCCCTATTGACTGGCAGAACAATCTGGTAAGAAAAAGCAATCTTTTCCACACTGTACATTGAAACAGCATGTATTTTGTGGTTGTTAACTGACTATATTACTAACTTTTACTAGTCCTTCAAAGTACAACCAAGATTACAAGGTTCTCCACCACCTTTTCTGTTAATTAAGCGGTGTGTGAACAGACATTCAGATGCACCATCTTTTAACCAAGGAACAGAACCTATTTTGGCCACTCAAAGGCAACTCACCTTTGCCAGGCTAGATCAAGCTCACAAAATAATTAAATGAGGAAATCTCCTCCTGGAATAGATTTTCTTTTCTTTTTTTTTCTTGAAACAGAGTCTCAGTATATTGTCCTCAATAGAGTGCTATGATGTTACAGCTCGCAGCAACCTCAAACTCTTGGGTCTAAGTGATTCTCTTGCCCCAGCCTCCCAAGTAGCTAGGACCACAGGCGCCCGCCACAATGCCTGGCTTTATTTTTTTTTGAGACAGAGCCTGAAGCTGTTGCCCTGGGTAGAGTGCTGTGGCATTACAGCTCATAGCAACCTCCACCTCCTGGGCTCAAGTGATTCTCCTGCCTCAGCCTCCCAAGTAGCTGGGACTATAGGTGCCTGCAATGCCTAGCTATTTTTTGGTTGTAGCCTTCATAGTTTTTGGTGGGCTGGGGCTGGATTTGAACCCGCCAGCTCAGGTGTCTATGACTGCTTAGCTGCTTGAGCCACAGGCACCAAACCACGCCCGGCTATTTTTTGGTTGCAGTTGTCATTGTTGTTTAGCAGGCCTGGGCTGGGCTCAGATCTGCCAACCTCAGTATATGTGGCTGGCGCCCTACTCACTGAGCTACGGGTGCCAAGCCTATGGAATAGATTTTCATGATGTAACTGTACATTGAAACAGCATGTATTTTGTGGTTGTTAACTGACTACATTACTAACTTTACCAGCCCTTCAAAATACAATCAAGATTAGAAGGTTCTCCACCAACTTTTCTGTTCATAAAACAGTGTGTGAACTTTGTCAAGAACTTTTGTCTCATCTCATGTATTTATCCCACATATGCTAAGAGCTAATTATTCTCTTTATGGCAGTGATCTCATGCCACTACATGTTAGTACTTGCTTCCCCATGCTGTGCGCCAGTGACGTTAAAATATCCCTCAGGCTTGGTGCCCATAGGACAGTGGTTATGGCGCCAGCCACGTACAGTGAGGGTAGCAGGTTCAAACTGGACCCAGGCCAGCTAAACAACAATGACACCCGCAACAAAAATTAGCCAGGCGTGGTGGCAGGCACCTATAGTCCCAGCTACTTGGGAGGCTGAGGCAAGAGAATTGCTTAAGCCCAAGAGTTTGAGGTTGTGAGCTGTGACGCCACAGTACTCTACCAAGTGCGACATAGCTGAGACTCTGTCTCAAAAAAAAAAAGAAAAAGATATCCCTCAGTTTCTTTTGCTACAAAAATTTAACTCATACTTTGCTGTTTTTCCTCCTTCAAGTATAATACTTGTCATCAATTTTGGGGATGATTTTATAATTTTCTCAGCAATGCATGTGACTAATATTTCTTGTTGGTTCAAGTTTGGACCCTTCTTTAAAGATAAAATTGAAAATTAATTCATTTCACATCCGAAAGAATTACATTTCGTAAGAAAAACCTGGATTAACTTGATAAATCACTGCTTTAAAAAAAAAAAAGACATGAAACTTTGAGGGCTTTGTGTCACTATTTGACATGGTTTCATTACAAAGAATGCACAGGGGCGGTGCCTGTGGCTCAAAAGGGTAGGGTGCTGATCCCATAGGCTGGAGGTGGCAGGTTCAAACCCAGCCTCGGCCAAAAACAGCAAAAAAATAATAATTGAATTAAATTAAAACAAATGCTTAAAAAAAAAAAAACCAGAATGCACAGAAGATAGAAGGAGATGGATTACTGATCTAATAAAATCTAACTATCAGATACGCATCATTGCATTACCTGTCCACATTTTTCTTTTATAGCTACATATACAAAAGTATTAAACTGAAAAAATTTCCTTGTATAAAGACATAAAGATTTGCGGATTCTCATATTAGGGTCTTATTTGCTACGTACGTTTATAATTCTATCTTAAGTTATAGTATAGATGTTGTTATTTTTATACCTACTATTATGATTCAATGAACTGATCTTAAACTACTGATTCATTTGGGATTGGGGATTCTAATGCAGTACAATGGTAGTAACAAAAACTGTATGTAAAAATTGTAATCAATAATGTAAATAGATATTAACTGAGTGAAGTAGGTATCTTATAAATGTTAGCCCAGATAGATAGAACATAATAATGATTACGAATGTAATGGGACAGCTGGGAAAATTATCATTAATATTACATTTCAAATTTGTAACAAGTATATCAACAATATCATTTTAAAACTTTCCCTTTGAAACAATCAAGATGCTTAGGTGCCAGTGCATGGAACCTCAAAGAACACACTCTAATAAATATTCTCTAGGCCAACCTGGCTAGGCACTAGCATTGTTGAATAATGAGAGAGCAAAAGAAAAGGAATGATCAAGTGACTCAGAGAGCAGATCCCTCTCCTGATATATGAGAATAAACCATACATCATAGACTGAGCCCCTCCTTTGGATAGATGGGCCTACCTGAGGGTTCTCTTCCCGTTTTGGTTTGGGTGCAGCAGGTGGGGTGATGGTACGGCTCTCTGTTTGTTTCTCCTCTGTTTCTGTGTGAGATTTAACTGTCTAGGAGAGAAAAATTAAATTAAAATTTAGAATTCTTTCTTCTTAATTAAAAGAATGAAAACCACCAGCAGTTTAACAATAGCCAACAAGAAAGAAAAGAACAAACTCAAATTTAGAACATATTAATAAAGGAGTTAATACTATGGATTTTATTGGGGGAGGGAGGGAGGTAAATTGTAAGACTCCAGCTGAAACTAAATTGCATAACTAGAGTAAATATTAATCTATAAATGTGTACAACAGCCTAAATTATACAAAAGGAAAAAAATCTATGATTTAACACTTATGTATAAAAATGAAATAGAGGCTTCAATCTCTGACTCCAATGTATTTTAGGATGTGGGGACAGTTTCCCAGAAGCAAGCCCACTGATGTTATTATATATAGGTCAAACTCGAGTCCACAGCAAGCTTAAGATCAGAATGATGTCAAAAATATCTTACATATTCTCTCTTCTGTTTCAGGACAATCTGAATCATAATCTAAGAGAGACTGAAGAATAACCCTTACTTGGAATACGTAAAACCTACATATATCATCCACTAGAGGAAAGGTAAAATTGCCACGAACCACAGTCTTACAAGAGGCTGACATCCTAATTACTCCCAGACTCTTCTTCCAGAAGCATCCACTCAAGCAGAACAAGCACCTGTTGCATTACCATCTTCAAACATAAATGGTAGCTAGCATATTGGTAAACCAGGCTTGCGTTACTATTCTTACCAGGACCTAAGGGCTAATTCATTTTATGAAGCCCTCTGTAAATACTGAAATGATTTTAGAACAGTGGATATAAAACTGTAAACACAAACCTAATTTACTTTTTAAAAATTTTTTTAAAAAGCTGATGTAGTGGTCTTCTTGCATGCCAATAATAATAAATGAGAATATATTTGTCTGATTACTGATGGGTAAGAGAAAATGAAAGTTGGCTAAAGTTCTACAAATAGACATCGAAACTTCTCAAAAATAACTACGCTATGAAATATTTCATTAGATCTGAAAAATTAACAGAAGCACAAAGATCTTTCACTTTTTTTCTGGCCATTTTTGTATTTTCCTTCTGCTTTTTATATTATCACATAAGGAAAGAAGCATAAACTGTCTATCAATACTGCGGCAACCACTACTCTGGGGCACAAATGCTGCCTCCCCCAAACCCCCGACTGGCATCCTGCCATATTTTCCCATTTATACTAAAAGTTGCTTGAGAGTGGGGACTGTTCCCTATACCACTTTTTCTTTTTCTTTTTTTTTTTTTGAGACAGAGTCTCATTATGTTGCCCTTGGTAGAGTGCCGTGGCATCACAGCTCACAGCAACCTCAAATTCTTGGGCCCAAGAGATTCTCCTGCCTCAGCCTCCCAAGTAGCTGGGACTACAGGTGCCTCCACAACTACACCACTTGTTTTGCACACACCCTGATACCTAGTACAGTGCCTCAGCCACAGCAGGTATATAGTAAAGAGCTGATGATCTTCTGAGTGAGGAATATGACCTGAGAGAGAATCACTCAAGTCTTTCTTTCTCTCACACATGTACAGTTTTTAACCAAAAAGGACACATTTCCTTCACAAAACAAACCACCAATGGGGACTTTGTTTATAGTGCTATTAAAAGGTCCTCGATGCCCAGAAAGCTTATTTTCATGGCTCTTTGAATGTGGAAGGACAGAAGTATGAAGGAGAGGGGAAAAGAGGTCAACTGCTGCTTCAGTCCCAGGCTGTGTGAAGCTCCTTGGAGTCTTGTATTATTTCTACTACTAAGGCCAGTGAAGGATTCAGTAGCAATGCCTCTGGGGAAGGGCACATCAATTCCTCTCCACTAAAGAATTACTCATGGTTCAAATTTCTCTCCCTCATGTAAGGAGAGTACAATTATCCCAGTATTAGATAAAGAATGCCAGAAAGTATCAGACAAATAAAAATAAAACAATCAAAATATTAGAGAGTGTCTTTCATGGACCTTTTGCTCTGGGGGAAGCAGGCTGCCATGTTTTCAGTAGCTCTATGGAGAGGCCCAGGTTGTGAGGAATTGAGCCTTCCACCCACAGACAGTGAGGAAGTGAGGGCTGCCAACAACTATGTGAATGAGCTTGGAAGTGAAGTATCTAGCTCAAGTTGAGCCTTGAGATGACAGTAGCCCTGGTCAACTAGTTTGACTGCAAACTTGTAAGAGATCTTGAACCAGAACCACCCATCTAAACTATAGACCAAGGCAGTGGGATGATGAGAGAGAAAAAAAAAAACCATCAACCATGAGTTCTATACCCTGAAAAACTCTTCTTCAAAAATGGAAACATTAAGAGGATATGCAGTATTCACTGCTAGTATTCCTGCCCTAAAGGGAATTCTCCAGGCTGAAAGGAAAAGTTCCTAGACAGGAACTTGAAGCCATATAAAGAAATAGGAACTCCAGTAAAACTAACTATATAGGTCAGTATTAATATAAAAGCCACTACTATTGTGTTTTTTGTTTTTAACTTCTCTTTTTTGTTTCCTATATGGCTTAAAGGACAAATACACAAAATAATTATAAATCTATATTAGTGGGGACACAATGTATAAAGATATAATTTGTGACAGTAATAACATAATGGGGGACAGAAGTGCACAGGTTTGTATATATTATTGAATATAAGCTATGATTAATTCAAACCAGATTGTTAAAAATCTATGAATGTTAACTGTTATCCCCATGGTGACATCTAAGAAGAAAATAATTATATACAGATAAGTAAATGAAGAAAGCATGACAATGGTACAATAGAAAAAAAATTAAACACAAACGGTAATATTGAGGTTCGGCACCTATAGCTCAAGCGGCTTGGGCTCCAGCCACATACACAGGAGGTGATGGGTTCAAATCCAGCCTGGGCCTGCCATACAACAATGACAGCCATAACCAAAAAATAGCTGGGTGTTGTGGAGGGCGCCTGTAATCCCGGCTACTTGGGAGACTGAAGCAAGAGGATAGCTTAAGCCCAAGAGTTTGAGGTTGCTGTGAGCTGTGACACCACAGCACTCTACCCAGGGCGACAGCTTGAGATACTGTCTCAAAAAAAAAAAGAAAAAAAGGGCTCGGCGCCTATAGCTCAACCGGCTAAGGCGCCAGCCATGTACACCTAAGGTGGCAGGTTCGAATCCCCAGCCCAGACCCACCAAACAACATTGACGGCTGCAACCAAAAAATAGCTGGGCGTTGTGGTGGGCACCTGTGGTTCCAGCTACTTGGGAGGCAGAGGCAGGAGACTCGCTTGAGCCCAGGAGTTGGAGGTTGCTGTTAGCTGTAATGCCATGGCACTCTACCCAGGGGGACAGCTTGAGGCTCTGTCTCAAAAAAAAAAAAAGAAAAAAGAAAAAAGAGAGAAAGAAAAAGAAAAGGTAACAGTGAAGGGAAAGAGCAAAAAAGATATAAAGATGTATAACATGTGGAAAACAAATATCCAAATGGCATAAATCCTTCCTTATTAGTAGTCACTTTAAATGTAACTGTGTTAAACTCACCAATTAAAAGACAGAGAGTGTCAGAATGGACAAAATATGATCCAACTATATGCGGTCCATAACAGATTCATTTTAGACCAAAAGTCACAATAGATTGAAAGTGAGAGGATGAAAAAGGACAAACAAATAGTGACTAATGAGTGCAGGAAGGCCACACTATATTCAGACAAAAGTGACTTAAAGCCAATATTTGTTGTAAGAGACAAAGAAGGTCATTACATATTGACAAAAGGGTTAATTCAAAAAAGAAGCTATAATACTTATAAACACATATGCACCAAACAACAGAGCCTCGAAATATCTGAAGCAAATATTGATAAACACTTCTATTACAATAGTTGAAGATTTTAATGCCCCATTTTCAACAATGGACAAACTTTTTTTTTTTTTTGAGACAGAGCCTCAAGCTGTTGCTCTGGGTAGAGTGCCATGGCATCACAGCTCATAGCAACCTCCAACTCCTGGGCTCCAGGGATTCTCCTGCCTCTGCCTCCCAAGTAGCTGGGACTACAGGTGCCCACCCCAAAGCCTGGCTGTTTTTTTGTTTTTTTTTTTTTGGTTGCAGCCATCGTTGTTGTGTGGTAGGCCCGGGCTGGATTTGATCCTGCCAGCTCAGGCGTATGTGGCTGGCGCCTTAGCTGCTTGAGCCACAGGCATCTAGCCAATGGACAAACCTTGTAGACAGAAGATAAACATAGCTACAGGGGACTTGAACAACATAATAAACTAACTAGACCTATCAGACATATAAAGAACACTCTATTCAACAACAGCAGCATACACTTTCTTTAAATCAAGTATACATGAAATACTCTCTCAGCTATAGACCATATGTTAGGGCACAAAACAAAACTTAATAAATTTTAAGACTGAAATCATAAAAGTATCTTTTCTGACCACAATGCAAAGAAGTTATAAATCAATAACAGAAAGAAAATTGGAAAATTCACACATATGTAGAAATTATATAAATAACACATTCTTTACTAAACGATGGGTCAAAGAAGAAATCACTAGAGAAATTAGAAAACACTTTGAGGGAAATGAAAATAACAACACATCAAAACTTCTATAATGCCAGGAAAGCTGTGCTCAGAGAGAAATTTATAGCTGTTAACAGTCTAAATTAAAAAACAAGCAAGCTCTCAAAGCAATAACCTAACTTTGTACCTTAAGAAAAAGAAAAAGATCTAACTCTAAAGTTAGCAGAAGGAAAAAAAGTAAAGAAAAGGGTGGAGATAAATTACATAGAAACAACAGAATCAACAAAACCAAAAGTTGATTCTTTTAAAATATCAACAAAATTGACAAACCTTTGGTTTAGACTGAATAAGGAAAAGAGAGAGAGGATACAAATAACAAAAATTAACAACGTAAGCAGGACAGTACTACCAATCTTATAGAAATAAAAAGGATTATAAGAAAATACACTGATCAACTTGGGCAGCATAGTTGTTATTTGTATACTAACAAACTAGATAACACAGATGATACA